CAGCTAACTCTCTAAAACCCAGAAGTTTATTAGAATCCGCAAAATGAACATTCATTATGAAAAGTCGGGGGGGTTAAAAGATGGAAGGAGGAATCAAAGAAGCCAAGCTGGCCAAAGTTCCTGGGGAAGGGGAGGCTCCTGAGCAGAGCACCCAGGACCAAGGAATTTCTTTCAGAAGCCATGGTTAAAGATGGAGCACTTGAAGCGAGGACTAGTTTGGGAGCCGGCTGAAGGTTAAGATGTTAGAATCTCAGCGTTGCAGAGTTCAACCCAACCAACCCGAACGCCTCGGATGGAGCAGCAGGTTCATTGTTACCGCACAGAACCAAACTCCAGTGACCGGGGTGGGGGGGGGGGGGGAGTCGAGGCGGCAGACCCCAGCTAAGTTTCATTTCTCTTTCCCCAAGTAGCCGACATGACACAGGACATAGGCTTACATTCTCCCTCAGCCCTTCCCAAATCAGCTTCCCTCCCACCCCCTGGGCGAAGCAGGGAAAATTTGAGCACCGAAAATAACAAGAACATTCATTTAAGAACGCTCCCTCTCTCCACCCCATAATCAAGCCAGGGCAGGGAGGGAGGAGGAAGGGGCCAAGGGAAATAGGGAAATGCAGGCAGGTGGCAACTGGTCCCCAAACCTTGTTCCCATGTGGGATGTAGGGTAAGAAGTTCAACCAAAAACCAAGATGGATCTCAAGGAGGTCCTTCAGAGCCAATGCCCAGAACTAGAGGGGGAGGGGCCGTGGGAGGAAGCATCTCCCCCATCCCTGTCCCTTGGATGGAGAGAGCAGGTCTCTGATCCACAGCCGTCAGCTCAGGGCCCAAAGCCCATGTCCTCTGCGAATGGCCAAAAAAACAAAAACAAAAAAAACCCGAACATGTGTTTTAGGAATTCACTAAGTAAATGTGTCCTGGGCATTCTAGCTCATACAATCAAGGGTGGGAGGGGGACAGAGGCATGGAGGCCAGAAAATTTCCTATACTATACACACGTACAGAGCACTTAACAACAGAAAGCCAGAAATGGGGAAAAAAAAAAAAAAGCATCTACACCAAGTTAGAAATGCCAGGTACCACATAGTCCTTGTGCCTGGGCATTTCCTGTTGGGATCACAAGGGGAACAGCATGCTATATTAGGGGTGGGGGCTGGGGGGATGCAATACTAGTCACAGAATCATGAGCCAGGTAAGACCCAAAGGTCAATTCTAGTCTATCCGGCTTATTTCACAGATTGGGAAAGAGACACCCAGGGAGAGCAATGTGACCTGCCCAACGTCACACATAGGGTTCAAGGCAGCTGAGACACCTTCTTTGTACAAGCAGAAATAATATCTGTTGATTTTCTCTTAAAACTGTAAACAGCAATGCTTAAAAATAAAATATATAAGAAAAGAACTGTCGATAAACATTTTCCATGAATATAAAATGCAAACAATACAAAAATAGATAAAATTGGCCTTTTATATATATTAAAAACAACTTGGATGCAACATATCCCTGGATAAGCTGAAGCGGGCACCCTCCAAACCCTTCCTTCCCACCCCCTATGCAGGGGCTAGGGAGAGCCCTGTTCATAGGAAGCTCTTGGCTTTGTGCTTGATTTGGGGTGTAGATGGGGGGAGCCAGGCTGCTTCTCACCATTTTCTGAGCAGAGCTCCAAGGCCCTCATTTCCCAGGGGGCAAAACGTAGAGCCTGGCTGGCTAGGATGTCCTCCAGGGATGGGGGGCTAGGGATAGGGGAGCTCTAACTAGGTGCTAAGACAGGATACCAGACTGCAAAGGGGAGCAAAGCCACAATGCGGTCATCCCATTTAGAGCTGAAAGGGCATTTAGAGATCATCTAGCCTAACTTGCTCTGTTTTACAGAAAAGGAAAACTGAGGCCCAGAGAGAAGAAAGGACTTGCCCAACTATTAAGCACCAGAGTGGAAATTCAAACCCAGGTGTTCTGATTCTAAATGCAATACTTTAGGCTATTATACCAGCATCCCTGGGGCAGGAAGTCTGGCTGGGTGTTCAGAAATGGATTCAGGAGATCCAGCTGAGAAAACAGGATCTTCCTTCCCTCTTCTGGGTGAGCACTTTCTATGCCAGTGCCTCCCTCCCTCCCCTAGTCAAAGATCGAGGCAGTGGAAAAAGAACTGGATTTGGAGCTCGACAACTTGGGAAAGTCACTGCTATCTCTTGCGTCTCAGTTTCCTCATCTAGAAAATGAGGGGGTTGGACGAGATTACCACGAAGGCCCTTTCCAACCCTAAATTCTATGGTCTCAAGTCTCAGGATCAATCACTGTTCACAGCAGCAGCAGCAGCAGCTTGGAATTAAACTCTCTAATTGACCTGTGCCCCCTACCTTACCACTTGGGATCTACTTGAACAGGGCTCTTAGGGGCTTCGTTTCTCAGACCTGAGCTGGCCCAAAGTGCCATCTCTAAGTCTAGCTTAACAAGTCTCCTCTTCTCCCCCTCGGCCTCTTAGCACAAACCATCTGGATGAAGAGTGAGCCCCTAATGGCCCTGCTGTTACTGTCAAGGATAATGACCAGCCACAGATTTTAAAGTGGGATCTGCCTATGCTGAGCATGTATGTCTTAACCCAACTGGTTGCTTTGGTTTTTATTCAATCCTACAGCCCAAAGGTGGGCTCCCTGCCCTTTCATGCATATGATTCTTCCTGTTCCAGTCTCCTCTCAGGCCCAAACAGAGAGAAGAGGTCTCAGCTGGAGCCCCAACTGTCTTTGCTGATAGGGAGGATTTGGGGCACTGTGACTGCCCCAGGTCAGCCCAAGTGGTTGGTGCCGTATGTCGGGTTCCCGACTCTTGCTCTGCTGGCAATTCTCCAAGGGCTTGCCACCCAGTTCCTCTCTTCTTTTCCCATGTTGGCTGCTTGCCCTTCACTGGCATGGGCTGAGGAGCCTGAGGTGGCTCAGTTCACATGAGCAGACAGAAACTTCGGCTGCCCTGGAGGAAAACCCAGGGCCAGGGTGGGCTGAGACTGGTGACTTCCTGCCAGACCAGCCAGACATATTTCGGCTCCCACCTCCCCAGACAGCCTTGGCTGGAGGCCAGGGAGGAGGAATGTGGGCACATTTTTCTGGAATGCAGGGCCTCATAACAGGGGTGGGGCCTTCACTAAGAGGAAGGAAAGGCCCTGCCAGCATAAACCATCAGCTAGCAATGGTTCCAGTCAGGGGACAGCTTGATGTCATCTCGTCATCCAAAGGCATAACCCTTCAACTGGCCAAATCCAGCCAAGAACACCCAAATTACAAAAGGGAGGGGACCCAGATCCTTGACCAATGGCTACTTCTGAGCCACTGTGATCCAGGGTATAGCAGTCCCAGCCCCTTTGGAATCCTACAGCAACTGTTCAGGCACCCTTCTCCAAATGGAAAGCCCTGGTAACCTTATCCTTCCAGATCCAAGTAAGGGGAGGGGAAAATAAGTCAAAATTTGGGTCATTACACACCCAGACAACTAATATCTTGCATGCAATTCAAAAGAAAGAAATTCAAGCAGAATTACTCAGAGCCTATCTCTTCCCAGGAATGATGAGAGGCTCGGCATGGGATTTCAGCAGCCCTTATTCAGAGAATCATAAACAGAGCAGGAAAGGACCTTAGAAGCCACCAATCCAACAACCTCATTTTACAGATGAGGAAACTGAGGCCAAGAGAGGGGAAGTGACTTGCCCAGGGTCACACAGCTAAGTTAAGTGGAAGAGCCAGGTTTCGACTTCAAATCCTGCTTTTCTCCCCCCACCATATCAAGAAGCCTCCCTTGTGGGCATGTGCCAGGGAGTTCTTCCATACCATTACTTATAACCTAGTTAAACATTAGAAAATGATAAAAAAGCAGGAAGGGGGAAACGGATTGATCTGCAAAGTGGAACTATCATGCAATTCTAGGTGCAGCAGCTTGGCAGAAACTGGGGGGAGGGGAAGCAGGGCACGTGGTCTTTGGTGATGCTAAGGGCCAAACGAATTGGCGGGTAAAAGCTCTTCTGGCACTCAGAAGAAGCCAGAGGTGCCTTTGGTAGCCAGTCCAAGGGCAGAGCTTGGTGCTAGCTAGCTACATAGCAACAGGTCCTCACAGGGCATGATTTTTGCTTCCGACCAAAGAGTGAGGCTTTCAAGACAGCGTGCCAGGATGCTAGACTCCAGGAGCTGCATCCCCCCACCCCCCCACCACCACATGGGGCCTTTTTTATCGAGGACTCAGACAAATCTTCAGGCTTCCTCCTCACCCCACTCTCCTGCTCATCTTGAAAAACCAAACCAAACCAAACCACCAACAACAATAACACACCAACAAGAAAACCACTGAAAAGCACCTCAAACCCCAGCAAAGCCTAATTTAGGCTGTCTCACAATGCCATACTCTAATGGAAAGAATACATTCCTGATGATGAGATTGTGAAGACTTTCTTCTGAGGAAAAAAGGGGAAAAAAGTGGAAAGCGACTTAGCTAGACACCAACGTTTTAGCTTATTGAGAGGAAAAGATGACATAGAACCAGGCTCTGTGGGCAGTGCCAGCAAACAGACCCATTTCCTGCTTTTACCTCAAAAAGTTCAGTCCCTCCACTGGGATATGGGGATCTTGTCCACTCCAAGTCACTCCAAAGCCCAGGTTACAAGGTCCCTTTGTGGTTATGGAACAATAACCATAGACTTGGAAACCAGCCTCGTGCCACTCTAAGGACATTGGGTACAGATGCCAGCAGGAATAGTATCACCCCCAAGCCATAGGTGGCAAATATGCTGAAGTGGGGGGAGGGTTGCACCATAATTTCCTGTCTATAATAATAAACTACATCCACTAGATAGATGGGGGTTGAGATGAGGGGAGGAGTGGGACTGGTCCCTGGCTGGTAATCGGTGCTGTGGTATGTTCAAAGAAAGCAGCATCACTAACTTGGTAGGCATTGTGGGTATGAAGTCATGGCAGCCAAAACCCTGAATGGATCTTAAAGAAACCGAAAAAAATGACCAAAAAAAAGATAGGTGTACATCTGTTTTCTCATGGCGATGTATATTCCACATAATACAGCCAATGATGGAGAGAAGAACCTTTACAACTCAGAATAGCTTTCATTGGCCAAAATACTTCTCGAGTTCAGAAGCAAGCACCTCTCGTGTTCCGGGCCTAGCACTGGAAGCTCAGGCCCCAGCAGCGGCATCAGGTGCTATTTGGCTGTGGTTACATTCATGGCACTGGACAGGTTACTGGGAGGAAAAGAAACTCCGTGGCTGCCCCTCCCCTTGAGCTGGTTGGTGTTGGTGCCCCTAGACTGTGGGGGCTGCCATTTGGGGTGTTCTTCCCAGCCCTGAGGGGAGTGGGGTGCCTCTTGGATGATACCCACTGATTTGCATTTAGCAGGAAGACCAGAGAAGCCTCTGGTAGGCCCTTTGGATTGCAGGGGCACCATGAATGCCTGCTTTTTGGCCTCAGCCTGGGCATAATGTGCATGAGGATTCCAACATGGGCTCCCCTGCAAGTCCAGGTGAGAAGGGCGGACTGCCTGCCGTTGAACTTGGGGCCCTCGATCCCAGGAGTCCCTTGGTGCTAGCCCCTGTAGCGAGCCATAGCAGGCTGGGGACCCAAATGGGGTTCTAGCCACATCTGGCTGCTGCCAGCCATGGCCAGGCCCTGTTGGTAGGGAATAGTGGGCCCAGGCTGGCCAGTCATATGCTTCTGAGGGCTCTAGGTAGGAGCCCAAGGGGCTCTCCCAACCCCACCTACCCTCCACAGGCTCTGCCAGCTTCCCAGACTCCATGTAAGTCGGGGCTAGCTGAGAGCCAGCCAATTCCAGTTCCAGGGTCTCTGTGTCCAGGGAGCGGCTTCTCCTGTTGAGTGTCACAGGAGGTGGCAGAGGGGGAGGGCTCAAGCCAGGCAGACCCAGGTGCCGGGGGAGGCTGCCCACCCCCCAGGGAAAACCTCGGAAGGAGCCAGGGAAGAGGCGGTCATCTAAGTCATCCAAGGCCTCCTTGGGAATGTAGCCTACATCAAAGTCCTCATCATCAGTATGGAACTCTGGAGGGCCCTCACACTCCCCTTCTCCTTCCCGTTCCACATCAGCAATGTCAAAGGTCACCATGGGTGGCAGTGCTGGGAGGTTCTGGGCGAAAGAAGAGTCCGAATCAGAGCTGCCTGAAAGGCTAGAGAAGAGGGTCCCGTTGCTCGTGAACTCCACCAAGGCCTGGGAGAAGCTCACAGCAAGATCTTCCTCCCGGTCCACTGGATCTGCTTCTGGGCTCTCTACCAGTGAGTAGGCAGCATAGGTCCTACTTGGGGACCCCCCTTCAAAGCCAGTCTCCTCTGGGCCTGATTCAAATACTCTGTCACCTGGGCAGACCTGAAGCAAGCAGCTGCTTTGGCCTTTCCACTCATAACATTTTTCTGGAGGTGAGAAATCCCTCCAAACTGGGGCAACAGAGAAGGCCAAGTTGAGGTTCCGACTGGCAGGGATCGGCCCCCCTGGATCTCCTTCTGTATTCTTCCTGAAAGGGCCTCCAAGCCTCTTGTATTGCTCTTCATTGGGCTTTTCCTGTTGGGGATAGGGCCCTTGGGGCTCTTGTCTCTTCCTCCGGAGCTCCCAGTAGATCAACTGTCTCTGAATGGCCACCAGCCTTTCCTCCTCTGTCTCCATGGTGCCCAGATTGGGGTCCAGCCCTTTGCTGGAGGGAAAGGGTTCAAAAGACAAGAAATTGTCAAAGAGTTCAGGGCCAGGGCCTGAAGGGTCAAACAGGCCTTCATCTCCTGGTGGGGAGCCTGTGAGGCTGTCACAGGGCTCAAAGAACTCATACAGGGCATCCCCACTGTAACTGTCCCGTGGCAATCGGTCTTTCTTCCCAGGGCCCAGGCCATCCCCAGAATCATCATCTGGTCCCGGTGTGTTTGAGTCATAGTAACCTTCATCGCTATTTGGGGCAGACTCTTGCTGATCACTTTGTGGAGTCAGGAGCTCCCCAGGCTCAGGATCAGAGTATGGCCGGGCCCCCTCAAATAGGAAGCAGCCGTGGGGGCCCAACTCCCTGGTGAGGTGATAGATGGTGGCCCCTTCCTGTGCTGAGTCAGTCCTCTTGGACAAATGCCCCATGGTTTCTTCTTCCTCCTCTTCCTCTTCTTCCTCCTCTTCCTCTTCTTCCTCCTCCTCTTCCTCCTCCTCCTCCATTTCCTCAGGCATGGCCATCTCCTCACCACCCCCTTGGTAGGTGACTAGGCAGGAGCTCCGCTTGGCTGACTCTCGCCCAGGTCCCCTCTCTGCAGAGACAATGCTCTCACTGATACTGTCCACATCCTGCTCTGCAATGATGTCCCCACAGCCTGTCAGAGAATCAAAACTCTTTAGGGATGTGACATCCCCAAATAGGAGGTTCAGCTGGTCCCCAGAGAGGCCCAATGGGGGCTCTCCCTCCTCCTCATCTCCCCTCACCTCCAGGCCAGATGAGTCCCCTGGGCCACCAGGTTCAGGATTAGTGTCAAGGGGCGGCGGTACTGAGACAGAGGCATCCAAGAGTTTCTCTGGGTTCTCCTGGGACATCTCCCTGGCAACTGGTGGAGGTGGGTCTGGTTCTGAGCCTTGGACTTCGATGGTCTTCGCATTTGCTGGCAGAAGAGGCAAGCACTCGTCCCTAGTGCTGGGCTCAGGAGCCGAGCCTGAAGGCTCCTCAGGCCATTCTCTGGGTTTCCCCAGCCCCTCTTTGCCTGGAGAACTTCGCTCAGGCTCGGGGGCCTTGGGCTTACGGGGGCGGCGGATACTACTGAATAACCCTTTCAATCCTTTCTTTGGCCAGGGGGCAGCTGAAGCCCTCTCTGGCCTGGGCTTCTCAGGACCTCTGGGTGGAGATTTCTTGAGGCAGGTTTCTGTCTCCAGGGCCCCATGGGAGCTCAGGGAGCTAGGGAGCAGGTAGAGTGATCTAGCTAGGGGTGAGCTGTGGTTGGCCCCTTTGACAGATGGTGGGTCTGACTCCTGGGAGGCCTCCTGCAGACCATCATGGGTCTTACTCTTGCTCAGACCCCTTTTTGCAGCTCCTTTCCCTGGCCCTTTGCTTCGGCCTCCCCCCAAAAAGCTGGGCAGAGTACAAATGCTCCTTTTGCCACCGAAAAGCTTCAGTGCTGTCTTCTTGAATTTGCCGGGCCCTGCTGGGGGCAGCTCGGAGCCAGGGCCTTCAAGCTCAGGTGCCTGCCCAAGAGCTCTGCTCTCTGCTCCTTTGCCCTGGTGCTCCCCACCAGCTGCTCTTCCCTTAGTCTTTGTGTGCTCCTCAGGGTGGCCATCCCTGTATGTCTCCATGGTGACAGGGGCCAACGAGGTACATTCAATGTGAAGCAGGGACCTTGGAGTCTGGCCCAGGGCGCTGTGTTAAGGACATCTCATGGATGGCTCTGGAAGAGACAAGAGATACAATGACAGAGAGACAGCTGTGAGGAAGTGTCAAGCCTGGTTCTGTGGTCTCTGGCTTGAGCAGAGTTAATCAGAATGTAAGGCAAAACCTTCATCTACTCTACACTTTCTTCCTCCTTGCCTTTCCCCTTCCAGGCCCCAAAGCGTTGAAATTCTACACTGAGCACCAGGCAGCTGTGCCTCCTACACTCCTACCACAGTCTCCCTCCCCTCCCTTCCAGCAAGCCCATCCCTGTGGCCTGGCTGGCTGGTGGAGCAATTACTGAAGGACACAGCATCTGGAAAAACCCAGTCATGTCTTTAGTGGGCTCAAATGGGGCAATTGTTCTCCAAGTCCTGTCAATTTGACCTCCATAATGCATCTTCCAGCTGTCTCCTTCTTTCCATTCTCAAGGCCAACACCCTAGCTCAGGCCCCCATTCCCTTTCACCTGGACTATTGTAACAGCTTCCTCATTGGGCTCCCTGGCTCAAATCTCCTCTCCAATCCATCTTCCACACAGCTACCAAAGGAATTTTCCTAAAGTGCAGGCCTGACCTCGTCACCCTCCCCTCAAGCACCACCTCTTACACAAGGCCTTTTCGGGATCCTCCCAGCTGCTAGTACCTCCCTAGTCCACCCAATTACTTTGTATTTACTTAAATGTGTATGTGTGTCTACTTATCCACATACAATCTTTCTTCCCCTCACAGAATGTAAGCTCTAAGGACAGGGGCTTTTTCATTTTTGTATTTGTACCTCCAGCACTCAACATGACATCTAGCACATAGCAGGTGCTTAATGAATGCTAGTTTATTGACTGATTGTAGGTTAGCCTATGTGCCTGCTTTTGTGGCTGGGTGGGAGAGAATGAGAGAGGTGGCTCAGTGGATAGAGCACTGGGCCTGGAGTCAGAAAGACCAGGGTTCAGATCTGGCCTCTGACACTTACTAGCTGTGTAACCCTGGGCAAGTCACTTAAGCCCTGCCTGCATAAAAATGGAGAAGGAAATGGCAAACCTCTCCAGTGTCTTTGCCAAGAAAACCCCATGGGATCATGAAGGGTCAGACATGACTGAACAATAACAAAAGCCAGAAAGCATTTGCCTCCTGTGTGAAGCCTTCCCAGATTTTTGAGCTGATTGCTTCCATTGGTTTTGACTGGGTTTAGCAATCTGAAGGCCCTTGCTGTCTGACCCATCTAATTCTGCACCTGCTTTCACCTCATGCCCAAATGGAATCATCTTCACCCTGTATTTCCTGAGCTATGATGACCATGGACTGTCAACTGGCAGATGTTTGATTTTGTGAGCTGGGGAGTGAAGACCGTTCCTATCTAGAAGAGGGTGTGCCTGAGCCTTCGCTGTGGTGGCTAATGAGCCCCAGCCAGCCCTTTGAGCCCACTTTGGATAATAGGCTGCTAGTGGAGATTCTTAAGTTCATAAGGTTCAGAGCTGGAAAAGATCTTAACGATTATCTCAACCCATTACTCCCTCATTTTCCACAGGACGAAACTGAAATCCAGCAAGACTGTTACTTGTTTAGGCTCACACAGCATGGGATTGGATTTAAAGCCAGGTCTTTTAACTCCAGAGCCAAGTTCTTTCCCTTATACCATACCTGCTACCAGTCAGATTAGTAAGAGCTTTGGTGCAGCATATGGACGGACCTCTTACAGGGGGCATCTCTGCTCACGTGCTTGCGTGTGAAAGCTGGCTGCCTGAACTAGAGGTAGGCTACCCAGCTCCCACATACCTAATACAACAAAACCCTGAAGTTTGCATCAGAACAAATAGTGATGAAGAAATCCAATGAGAAACTACAGGAAGTGGCTTCTTCCACCCTAGAACTTCATAAGACTTCAGCTAGAGGCCCAGCAGCAATAGGAAAAGGGACTACCAGCAAAGCCAGAACCTGCAGCACAGTGTAATCTCCTAGGGATATGGCCAGGGATGTGTGTAACCAGCAAGGATCTATATCCAGAAGCAATGGGAACAAAGAGTTCCCCCAAGAAACCCAAAATTCATAGTAGGGACCCTGGAAGCAATTGGGAATGTGAGCAACCAGTTCACTTTGGGTAATGTTTGTAAGTCCAAGGGCACCACAGAGGTCTCTGAAGATCTAGCACTCTGAGCCTCTCATATTGGGGGGTGGGGTGGGGATAGACTTGGGAGGTAGAAATAAGTACAAGAACACAGAGCACCCAAGACAAGATCAAGCTGGCCTGATCACTTCACTAAAAAACACGCCAAGTGTTAGAACTTCGTGTGCTGGCCAGCACCAAATCTCAGTTCAAGAACTAAGGCTGGACAGATAAATAAACACAAGATGTAGACCACTATAGAGAATTCTAACACATCAAGAGATGTCCAGAAATCCAACCGAGAAGACAGTCTGTCTACAACAACTTCAAGCAAAGACTTAAAGGGAAAAAAAACCAGATTTTCCACAAAGACTACAGAAATCTCTAGAAGAAATGAGATTAAAAAGTGAAATATGAGTTTTGGAACAAAGAATTGGAAAGAAAATAACCATCTTGGAACATAAAGTGGTAAACTTTAAACAAGGAATGGACTTCCTGAAAATTAGACTAGACCAAACAGAAATCAATGATTCCATGAGACAGTAAGAAATATTAAGGTAAAAAATTAAAATATTGACAAAATATAAGATATTTATTATTATAAATAACTAACCTAGAAAACAGGTCAAGGTGAGATATCTAAGAGTCGTTGGATTCCCTGAAAAACATGATTAAAAAAAAAAGATCCCTGGACCCTCTATTTCAAGAAATCATAAATGAAAACCATCCAGATATAGTTGAACTAGAAGGCAAAGTAAAGAAAGAAAAAATTCACCTATTACCTCCTGAAAAAAAATCTCAAAAGGAAAAATACCAGCAATGTTAAAGCCAAAATTCAGAGCTTTCATGGCAAATAAAGTAATACTTTAAGTAGCTGGAAAGAAAGAATTCAAGTACCCAGGAACTACTGTAATGATCACACAAGACTTGAAAGCTTCTATTATAAATGAGAGGAGATCTTGGTGTACAATATTCCAAAAGGCAAAAGATGTAGGCTTATAGCCAAGAATACCTTACCTTGCAAAGTGAGTATAATCCTACAGGGGAAAAAGTAGACTTTTATTGGAATTGTGGACTTTCAAGCATCTCTGATGAAAAGACCAGAGCTGAAGAAGAACTTTGAAATGCAAACATAAAGGTCAAGAGAGGGCTAGAAAGGAAAATTTATTTGAGCAATTAGAATAGGGTCTATGATGTTGCAGTGCTAATATTCTAATAGAGGGAGTAGAAATAGATGTCTCTTCACAACAGCTTCAAAGGATACTAAGGGAACCAAATAAGAAAAGCAGAGAACTGGGGAATATATTGGTTCTGTACTGAGGGGTTTAAGAAGACAAAGTATAGGGAAGGTAAAAGGATTACACCAGCACAGGAAGGAGGAAGGAAGGGGTAGAACTTACTATTTCTCATAATTAGAGTATGCAACAATTATACAAACAGAGAAGAAGGGGTGGGGGGAGCATGCATCAAATGAACCTCACTATTATTTGAAACTGATATAGAACGGTTGAGCAAACATACACAGACATCACTTACAAGTTTGGTGAGAAATAAATGAAACTCAATATGGAACAAGACAGAGATTGGGGGTGGGGCAGCTAATACCAAAGCAGAGAATAATGGGAAGGAAAGCAAATTTGTTGATACTAAATGGAAGGAAAATTAAAAGGAAGAAAGAGAAAGAACTAGAAACTAAAGGGATATTCATCAATTGGGGAATTGCCAAACAAATCATGGTATATGAACATAATACAATTACACCATAAGAAATGAGGAAAGATTATTTCAGGGAGTCCTAGGGGAATATAAAGTGAAATGGGAGAACCAAGAGAATATCTTTACAATGACAACATGAAAAGATAAACAACTTTGAAAGAGTCAAGATCTCTGATGAATGCAGTGATCAACCATGTTTCTAGAGGATTTATGATGAAGCATGCTACTTGCCTCTTGACACAGAGGTGACAGATTCAAGGTGTAGAAGGAGGCAAACGTGTTTGGACATGGCCACTGTAACTCTGTTTTGTTTGGCTATGCTTATTGATTACAAGGGTGGGTTTTTTTCTCTTTTATTAAATTGTAGGGTGGGGGATACAGCTTAGTAATAGTTATGCCAAAGCAAAAAAAAAAGAGGGCTGTTGTAACATTTTTCAAAGTGCAGAAATGAAAAATGAAGCATATATAGGCAAGACAGCTATGAAAGGAACAGGTTAAATTTTTTAATATATATTTTTAAAAGCGAGAGGTTTTACAGTTTTATATATTTTTATATATTTACAGATTTTATATTTAAATATAAACATATATTTAAATATATTTTGTATATTTACAGATTTACAGTTTCATATGCAATCATTTTTTGGTGTTCTCCTTAGTATGTGGAAATGCTCATTTGGGAACTGTTTATTAAGATCAGAATTTTTAAAATGATAAAATAGACAATTAAGATTACATAAAATGAAAGAGCTTTTGTACAAACAAATGTAATGCAGCTAAAATTAGAAGGGAAAACTGGTAAATGGGGAGGATCTTTGTAAAAAGTTTATCTAATAAAAGTCTCATAGCTAAGATATATATGGAACTGATTTAAATTTGTAAGCCTAAGCTATTCCCCAAGAGATACATGATCAAAGGACATGAACCATCAATTTTTTTTTTTAGGCAATTGGGGTTAAGTGACTTGCCCAGGGTCACACAGCTAGTAAGTGTCAAGCATTTAGTCTAAGGCCGCATTTGAACTCAGGTCCTCCTGACTTCAGGGCCGGTACTCTACACACTGTGCCACCTAGCTGCCCCATGAACCAGCAATTTTCAAAGGAAATAACCCAAACCATCAACAAATAAAAAAATGCTCCAAATCACTATTAATCAGAGAAATACAAATGAAAGCAACTTTGAGGTTCTACCTCATACCCATCAG